GTGTCCACATTCACACACCAGCCCTCACTTGTTCCCGTACAGTCACACAACCGTTATATACCTTTGCCCAGGTTTTGCACCCGTACCTCCATAAAAATACTCCAGCACACATACACGTGTACACACAAGCTGTCCTGAATGCCATGGCACTCCAGCTAACGGCACACACCCCGTGCTGGGTCAGGATCGGCAACTGCCCAGCTGAACCCAAAGTCCTTTCCCAACAGGGGAGCATCCTCCAGGCCTCAATGCCCCAGCTTCTGCCAGTTCAAAAATGGGATGTAATTTATTCCATCCCTATTCCTGACCCTCTTGCTAGCGGGTCAGTGCAGCTAGCGGCTGCATGACCTGTAAGCACAGCAACACTTCATGAGACCCGTTTGTACGCTGGAGGTTTTCCACCCTTCTCGAGAGAACTGCCCTTTCTGCCATCCTCGCTGAGCAGGACAGGCGTAACGGGGAGAGAACGGCAGGATCTGACCTCAATCCCATCCCTTCCCGGTCCCTCGCGGTGAGCTCAGCCCCACCAGGCTGCACTGGCAATTGCAGCGGGCAGCCGAGGCAGCTATCTCAGAGGGGTCAGCAGGACTGAGAATGAAGAGGAGGGGGAGATGCCTTCGTCCAGCGATTTGGAGGGCAGCAAAGGGAGAAGCCGGCGCATGTGATTCAGAGCTTTTGAAATCTCTCGCCTCTCCCCCTTCCCCTTCTGTCAAGAGCCATTAAACCATGCTCCATTGGCAGGCAGCAAAAGGTAACGTGGAGAGAACGGCAGGATCTGACCTCAGTCCCATCCCTTCCCGGTCCCTCGCGGTGAGCTCAGCCCCACCAGGCTGCACTGGCAATTGCAGCGGGCAGCCGAGGCAGCTATCTCGGAGGGGTCAGCAGGACTGAGAATGAAGAGGAGGGGGAGATGCCTTCGTCCAGCGATTTGGAGGGCAGCAAAGGGAGAAGCCGGCGCATGTGATTCAGAGCTTTTGAAATCTCTCGCCTCTCCCCCTTCCCCTTCTGTCAAGAGCCATTAAACCATGCTCCACTGGCAGGCAGCAAAAGCCCTGTATCATGCTGCTCAGCCTCTCCTACATCCTGTGCTCTGAAAGGCAGTGGGGAATAAGCCAGTTTCTGCTTTTCGGCTGTTCCCAGTCCCACAGCCAATGCTGACTGCGGGGCAGATGGGACTGAGCACAGCCTCGTGGTCTGATCACACCGCATGCAAGCTGCTCTTTTCTAACCAGGACCTGAACTGCATCCCTCCCGCAGCACCTGGCAGGCCAGGTGACGCGGTGTTTCCAGCACAAAGTGGTTTTGGGATAAGGTAAAATAGCCTGATAAAATAGTCCTGTGGACGCAGTTAGTTTGGTGCTTCCAGCAGCCCCAGTGACAAGCTCGGTGTGAGCTCACCTACCCAAGAGCATGCGGGGAAGCTCAGTCCTCAGGAACCGAAGGTGTGACCTGGTTTCACTGCATGAACTCCCTTGTGGCTACGCTCATTCAGGGTTAAAAGGGGGCTCCAGGGGCCAGAAATCAGTCTGCCTGGATGCACTTTGAAAGTGAAGTCAGCTAGACTGAATTAGGGGTACTTTCAGCTAGGCTTAACTCAGTGGAAGCAATTCGCATGGGCATCAATTCAGATTAATCTCCCTGCGTGCCCCTGTGTAGACAAGCTTGGCAAGCACAATGCTGCCTCTGTTCTCAGCTATGCCCACAACCCGTCTGCAGGAGCATCCAGGAGAGGCAGCATTTGCAGCTGGAGCTGAAAAATGAAGGTGTTTTTGTTCGTAATGGGCAGTGGAGCTGGAATAGAGGTCCTGGCAAACCCCAATGCACCACCCTGCACGGGAACCCACGGAGGACAAACCTCTGGGAATGCTGCTCCCCTGCAACCAGCTGGAGCACTGCAGTGAAAAAAGAGGCTGCCACTGAGCTCACACCTCTCATATATAAAGTGCTATGCATAGGTGCAAGGAGGAGAGAAGCCCACTGAGTTCTCACAGGGCCTTGGTGCTGTAATAAACCTCTTTTCCATCTTCCAAGGCAACTTGTCCATTCTTGTCAGAATAGCCAAACTGTATTACATCTTGATCTACAGCTCTGGCAACACCAGTAATGCACTAACTAATTGATGTACAAAAGAGAAGAGAAGCAGTTTCCTAACTTTAGAAAAATTTCTTTCCAAAGAAGGACATTGGCAGATGGATCAAGCTGTTGTAATGAGCAGAAAATATCTATGTGATGCCATAGATGTGACCCCTCCTCTGTGACACTCTCTGTAACCACCAGGACTAGGACGGCATTAAAGTCCTAGGAAGCACAGAGGAGAAAAATTCCTGCCTTTCCCCAAAATATCAGGTTTTCTACAAGGAGGATGAAGCCCCTGAAGCCTATGTGGTGTCCTTCACCTCAAGCTGCCTTGCCACATGCATCAGTGCATGACTTTCCCTTAATCACATAAGACATGCAGTCAGGAATTTGGACAGCTTGGGACTGTGTAGATTAGAAAATGAATGTCCCACCCTGAAAATGGGAATTTCAGACAAAGCACTTGCATCTGCAGAGCTCAGGGGACTGCTGGACCATAAATTGCTCCTTAAAAGCCCAGTTACCTTGAGGAAAAATGCTGGTGCCTGACAGGAGCTTTTGGGGCTCCTCTCCCTTACTCCACAAAAAAACCTAACTATGACACTGCAGAGTTCTCCCTGTGCATTGCAATTCTGCATGACCTTCAATGCTGCCCTGGGTTTTCCACACCCCTGCCCCTGCACAGCTTTGTCAACCATCCTCTGCAAGGACCAAAATACAGCCTACACTTCAGGCGGTCCCTATCCGAAAAGAGCCCACGAGCAGGACAGTACTCATTGTCTGCGAGCTGTATTTTAGGATCATATAAGTTTCCAGATGGGAACAGATTGATAGTCTACTTTGTTTGGCAGCACTGTAAAACACCAGGCTGTGCAATCGTGAACCCTCAAGGGAGATTTCTTCCTGACCTCAGCTGCAGATCACATCCAGCCCAGATCCATGAGGAGGTGATTTAGCCTTGCCCTGCTAGCTGCAGCACTCTTCGTCTTCTCCACGTCTAACCTTGCTGCACACAGGGCAACTTTGCAAACAGTGAGGTCGGCATTTCCAAAGTTAGATGGGTTAAAGGCTTTAATTACTGGAATAGATGATCTTTCCCAAGGGAAGGTAAGAGTGTCCTTGAATTAAAACCATACACTCCTGAGGCACTTTCTCTTCAAAGAGCAGAAAGCCCTTTATGCAAATATTTGTGAAGCCTCGGAAGGCCTCTGAAGAGCAGTTATTGTAATGCCTGGCTATGATTATATCCATCCTGCAGAAAGAGAAGCAAAGAAAAGTGGATAGCTGAAGTCTGCCAGCTCCTCTCAGAGCAGGCAGCCCCTCATTTCTTGTGGGATGAGAAGTCACCAGGGAACGCAGGCCTACCGAATCCCACCCTCTCCAGATGCGGGACTGGACTTCACACGTGCATAACATGGTGCACTGCAAGCCAAAACACCAGACCGAGTTGGCTGGCTTGGTCTCCGATGGCCCAACCTGCTGTCCCTGGGGCAGGAAGCGCCAGAGGAGAGAAAGGCTGAGCATTAGGCTGTGCCTGTGGGTCTGTCTCTGGCAGCGGACAGTCACAGCTTAATCTCATGGTCTCTCTGCGGACACTGATAGCTTGCAATTGCTTCTTTTCCTCTCATGACCTGATGCAGTCACCCTCATTTGACTTGGTCCCACACTCCAAAAAAGAAAAGAAAAAGAAATTTTGGGGGAAAAGCAACTTGGGAGGTATACACATGCATTGGCCCTGCGGGGTGGAAGGACTGCTCCATAATGCTATCCAGTGCCAGCTGGCCTGCCGTCCATCTTCTCCTGCAGTCGTGAAGACACCCTGCCTCCACTAACAAACTTTGGCCCCTGGGAAGCAAAGAGTTGACAGTCTCCCCATCCACTTGTCAGGTGGTGTCACCATTCTGCACCAGAGCAAGGCAGGTGAGAGATACATATCTGGTGATGCGCAGACATGAATACAGGTAAAATGCCTGCATGCACTCAAGTCCCTCCATGCTGTCCCAGAAGGAGAAAGGGGGAGCAGGAGACCAGATCCTGCCTAGATCTTAACTTCAATAGGCCTGCTAAGCAGCTCGTAATTACTCCTGATGAAAACCCTTGGAGGAGAGCCAGAGAATCCCAAATCATTCTTTGACTTCAACTTTCAATTTACCCAGCTGGTGCTAAGCTCATTAATCATACTTGCAGCACCAAACACAACAGAAATTACTCCCCGATCTTCTCCCCTCTTATTTGATGTCGTGAGGGGTTGGGGGCAAGAGAGGGCAGGAAGAGAAAAGAGATGGAGGGGTGCCACCCACAAATCTAGCAGCCATTCAAACGGGCTGGGATTAATAAATCAAAATCCATTATTAATAATACAAGCTTAAATATCTATCTAAATGCAAATGAATGAACACTCGAGGTGTCTTCCCCTCCCCCCCCCTTTTTTTTTTTTTAGTGCTCTGTTTAACAACTCCATCCTGGAGGAAGCACATGCCCACATGATAATTGTCAATTCTAATTGCAATTTTACAGTTCAACCCTTCATGGCCCATGGATTTTAAGTGGCCTTTAAAAGGGCTGTGACATGTTTTGGATGGGATTGAAAGCTCAGGTGGCAGCCGTGACAGGCAGGAGCTCTCGTCTGAGGATTGTTTCGAGTTTCCTGCCTTTGTACGTGTTCAGTCACACAGAAGGTAAGGGAGATAAATCCAGATGTTGGTTCACCAGCAGTGAAGAGGAAAAGAGAGAAATTTTACCAAAGCCTAGGCAAAGCCATAAAAATGATTGATACTTGCCAGAAGGGAATGAGTCTCTATCTGCCTTTGATGACTGATGTCCAACACTGATGCTCCCATCCAGCATCGCGGCACATCAGGCCTTCCATCTCCATCTCTTATAGGATCAGCTAAAGCAGACAGGGACTGATAAAGCAGACTTACTAGAGAGCTAAGCCTGCTCGCGATGCCACTGTCTGAGGACTTCTCATAATCCGCCATCACTCTGATGTGCGTGAAAGCACTTCCTTGCAGTTGCATCTCCCATCTCCTCACCCCACAAAATACTTTCCAGGCATTTTCCAAGACATCTCAGTCCCCCTACTAGTGGGGTCCAGGGCCCTCCATATGGATAATGCACATCCCAGGGAGGACTTACAGGGTCCCTCTATGCTCATCTGGGTACCTGTCCTACCACAGGCCCCATTTGTTACTCATTCTCCACATGAGTAGAGCTGACGTCCTGAGAGGGAAGTTGGTCTGGGAACCTCGCAGCTATATCAAGGCATTTTGGAAGGAAGGTGAGGGCCAAGAAGGGAGGAAGTTGCCAAAATAACCAACGCGCTAAGGAAGACAAAGAAAGGCTGAGGAATGGACAACAATGGGAGAAGAATCTGCCCTGCTCAGAGGAGAAACCTGAGGGGAAAAAGGCAGCTATCCTGCCTGAGGAAAGAGGAACAGTGGCTGATAAAACTGACCCCTGCCCTCCCCCAGGCATGCTGTGTGCTAAAGCATTGCTGAAGATGTGAGCAAAAAGCCTGACTCCAATCTTAGACCGGTATGGGTTGTCCCCTCTCAATTTAGGTCCTTAGAGAAATGAAGGATAATGTTAAAGAGACGTCAGAGACACATCAAGATAAGGAATTGCCCAAGTTCTGCTTAGATCCTGAGATGCAGAAAAGCGAAGGCATCTAGGCACAAGGGTGGAGGACCTGGCCTCGGATATAGTTTGCATCCCTAAGATCCACAACCCTAGGAGGACAGTTGAGGACACAGGGAAGGTCCTCCTGGCCAGGTAGCCTTGGAGAAAGAGCATGGAGAACCCGCAAAACAGCAAGCTTGAGAGAAGCAGTGTCTTCTGAGCAAACACCATGGCAGATTGGCCTGGACTATGCAGGGAATAAAGCAAGATGAGTCATAGACAGGCAAGTGAAGCCACAGAACAATTAAATTGGTCAAGCAAGGAATCTATAGCAGAGCTGGGAAGTAGGCTGTGCTGGGTTTCACCCACTTGCACAACCATCTTATGAGACTGATCAGTGGGATAACGTCCAATTTTAAAAGGGTGGCAGAAAGAGGGAGAAGATAAATGCAAAAAGGAGACTCCCCAAAGTGGGACTGAAACTCAGAATCTCCTGGCTCAGAGTCACCAGTCATGATCTCTACCATGTAGTAGGCAACAGGCCCCAGATCACACTCAGACTCTCATCTACTTACCAGTGGATGTGCTTTGGTCTGCCAGAGGCAGCAACGCACAGTATCTGCTGCCCTCAGAGGCAGGAGCCCATGCACAGCAAACTACAGTGAATGGTCACAGCTGAGTAAGCTTTAGCACCACATTCTGATTTCGGAATTTCCTCTCCCTTTGGCAGAATTCTTATGCTTGATTAGAAATGCCACTAAATCTTTGAGACCAAAGGAGAAAGATGAGGCTGATTTTGGTACAGGACACTCACCTTATCTGCAAGCACGTAACTCTGAAACTGCAGTTATCAGAAACCAGGGATGTAACCTAAAAATCCATGTCCCAGACAGAAAATGATTTTCCAAAACTGTGATCCAAAAGCCTGGATAGCTCCAGGGTTCAGTTCAAGTCTGGGGTGGGCATTCAGGCCTTGAGAACAGGGATTGCATAGCTAGCCTTTCGCTAGACTTTCCTAGGAGGTGGCAAGGGTAGCAAATCAGCTTTAAACTGTTGTGCAAACAACTTTGCAGCTCTTGTTGCCAGAGCTCACAGAATCAGATCTAGCTTTGGAACATCCCTTAGCGAAATTTGCTGGCACTGTCATTTTGGAGATTTGAACTGGTTTGGATTGCAAATGTTGTTGGTTGAAAGCATGTGTGTGCATGCACACACACCCTGACACACAGAAGCACATACACAAAGCAGAGTCTTAGCAGCAATATTTGTGCAACCAATCTGCTGGAGTTTTGGAAACCGTGCTTGACAACCGAGCCACAATGTCAGTGCCAAAAAATTGCCTGCTTAACTCTTAGCTATGACCCCATCCTTTGATGCCATGGAGTGGCAAGGATTAAAGAGTGAAAGCGTTCCTAGCATCCCTTGTTCTCTGAGAGACAACAGGCCGTCGAACAAGCTGCCAAGCCTTGGGAGCAGGTATGTGGAGCAGCTGGACCTCCCAGGACAAGTCAGAGGTGACAACGCTGATTTCATAAAGGTTCACCTGAGTCCTGTTGTGAGAGGTCAACATAGCACGCAAGTGGCAGACTCTGCTGCTCTATCTCAACCATCTTCTAATGCTGTTTTCAGTATGACCCAGAGGGACCAGCTCTGCCGTTGGGTACAACATGGGTGTTGTACAACAGAGGCCGCCCCCCAGCCCCGGGTTCTTCAGCTTTTGTCCAAATCTTCTCATACATGCCAAATTAATCACAGCCCAACAAGAACAATAAGCTGACTGCTAATATGTTGCCCACCTATATGTGCTTATACTACTTAATGGAGCATAAAAGGAAAATAGAATCATTTCTCAGATGCTGCACATAATAATAATAAATAGTGATAATAAATGCAGAGGTGTGTGCCAAGTGTATAAGGTCTTATGGAGAGAAATTAACTGTAAGCAGAATAGGAATCGGGTTGGTCCTCGAACTGAGATGCAAAAGTCAGTGGAGTGAAAACACCATTAAATCAAATATTTCAGTTCCTTGTCAAGTTCACTCAGGATTTAAGACCACACTTTTATTTTTTACTTTATTTTTTAAGATGAAGACACTCTGACAGTTACTTTCTGTATGGGATTTTTGACCCTGATTCTTTGTGGTAACTTTAGATTTCTTTTTTGCCTGCTGGCCACAGTTACATCACTCTAAAAGCCTTGCAAACAGCAAACAATAACAGGAATCCTCACGGAAATCATTTTACTCCATCACAGCAGCACAACTTCTACTTCACCACTGCAGGCCATATTTGCAACAGTGGCCTCCAATTTTGCGTTATTCTCCTTATGTGCACAATTTGGGATGAGCATTGAAGGGACCTAAGCACCCTGTTTCAAGCTCAATTCGGGGACACCAGCAAGAGTCTCCAAAGCTCTGGGCCGCTATTCAAGTGTTTCTCTTACTGCAAAAAAATGGAGGAGTCAAAATGAGAAGCCACTTTTCCAAAATGTGGGCCAGGGACTCAAGTCCGAAAGGAAAATGCAAATACCCGTCCTTGTGAACAGAAGCACACATAAACATCCCTACTAGGACACAGAGATAATTTCCAGGTACAGTTATATGATGCTGCCAGCACACAGGGCCCTTCAGGGGCTACACGGAGAAGATCTGATTGCAGATCTTTAAATATAAGACCCAATTTAACCGGCACCAAAGGACAGCAGAGTAAGAAGTGCATCCATGCTGGTGAAGGAAGGATCACTCCTCACCAGGGGGAAGGGCTTTGCAGCAATGAAGGTGGATGCAAAAAAAAAAATAGCTGAGTGGAGAGACCAAACGGCCGTGATGATAGACTGGCATGTCACTGCTAAACTTGCAACAGCGTCACCCCAGAAAAAGCCTGAAACAAATGGGCTTACTTGAGAGTATAGAAAAACTCACACAACTCACCTGTCAGCTTCGTCCCACAGGATGCAGGTCTGGTTGGTGGTGCCCTGTCAGGAGAAAAGAAAGGGAAAAATGAAGCAAATCAGTGCTGTGCTGTTGATGGGGTATTGGAAGCAACTAGAATGAAATATGCACATCCTGTAGGGCTGCTTCCTCTACTCTAGATGGGCAGTCACAGATCTGTGCCCTGGGAATAGCTTCTTTCACCCATGGTTTGAAAGGCAAGATTAAAAGAGGCCTCACTTTCTTCTCCACCAACACAAGAACTAGGCAGGGATCTTGCTCCACATCTTTCCTATCTCTACCTGCTGATGTTCTCCCTCTTTCCTTCTCTCACACAAAATCCTTTTGCTGCTCCCTTCTGGAAAGTGGATTAAATACAGTGCATGCTTCTGTGGTACACAGTTCTCAGAAAAGCCACAACCCTGTAGAATGTGTCCGGGTGTATGTAAAGCCCCCTGAAGGAGGTGTACCGTTGACTCCAGCTGTCCAGACGGAGCTGTCTTAGCCAGAGTACTTTGAAAAAGTGTTCCCAGAAAGTCCAAAGGGGCACAGAGCAGGCAGGTTTGCAAGGATGACCCACACACTGCATCCTGGGCAGTAAGCAACAGCAGGACACCAACACCAAACCAAGCCCAGGCAGGCAGGTCAGTGCCTCACCAGCTTGGGTTAAGGGAGAGTGAAGGGTCCTGCAGTGACACAGACAACTCAGGAGCCCAGAAAACCTGCATCCTTCCTTGTCCCACCTCGTTCCTTTCATGCAGAAGCAAACACAGCTATGGGGTGGTGCGGGTTGCCAAGAAAGACTTACGTTGTACAGATGGGAGAATTCGATTTCCAAGGGGGTAAGGAGAGAGCGGGGAAATGGCTTCACAGTCACGGAGATGACTTTGGAGTTGAGAACAGTGCTGTTCCTGGGAAGGAGAGGGAAAAGAGAAGCTTTAAAGGGGATCGAGGGAGCTTTGCAGAGTGGCGAATCCCACTGGGTTAACCACTGGGGTACATGGCTTAGCGTACACACTGCAGAAAGAGCTGGCCCCATTATTTTAAAGCATTATCAAAGTCGCGCGCTGCTGATGGACCCCATCCTCTGCCCTTCCAGCTCCCCTGACATCTGGAAGGGCAGAGAGATACACACAGACGGTGTGTATCTCCGTCCTCTGAGGATCAAAAGCAAATGGAAAGAGGCCAAACCGCTCATGAGTGGAGGTCTGACCGTCAGTGCCCAGACAAATACTCGAATAATGCTGGCAGCCCTAAGGGACTTGGCTGTCTAGAAGAGCAATAAGGGAGGGGATTTCTCCCAGATCTGTGCTCTTTGCTCCCTGAAAAGCCAAACCCTTTCTAGGCACTTCACTGGATATTGGACATCTACATTCACAGAGGATGCAGCAGGCAAAGGCTTGGGTGACTAAATACACAGAAGGTCCCTGTGACCAGTGGTTGAAAAAGCTACCCTTCAAAGTTAACCACTAAGGAATCGGTAGTGGAGTGGGAACCCGGAAAAGAGCTCTTCCCACCCCTTCCTGCCCTGAGGGGTAAGGGAAACCTCTCCCCATCCAAATCCTCACCAGCTCTACAGGCACTGGTGACACCTTTCTGGGCCCTACCTTCCTTTTACAAAAGGATTACTCGGAAAAGATTTTCACTCGCTTAATGACAAGAAGGTTAGAATAGCTTTGTAATTGCCCGTGGATGTCTACCCGAGTGCTCAGGAAGCCGTGATCCCACCAAGAGCAGAGACAACAACAAAGCTCTGTTTTAGCAGGGTAAAGAAAACCCAAAGCACGTTTGGTTAAAAAAAAAAAAAAAAAGTGGGAAAGAAGCAGTGAAACACAAAAATGAATCTACAAAGAATGAGTAAAAGGGACAGTCAATGGGATTAAATCTCAGTTCTAAGCTTTCAAATGTAGGCAGTTTGTTTGCTGAAAGGTCTCCAAAGGCGGCTGTCGATATGTAAACACCAGTGCATCCTTTCATTAGTAGCTGGGGCTTTTTAAGGGTCAGTTCTTGGTTCAGCGCTGTTCAGGATTTGTGCGAACAACCCAGACGACACAGAAAAATTCCTTTTAAAGGCTGTGGACCCCACGAGGATTAGTATGGTAAATAAGAGCAAAATTGATTTGTCAGTGTGACAATTTTAACGCATGGAAGTTGTGTCTCTGCAGACAGTGAAGAGTGCTTAACAGGGACACCAGAAGGTATCCTGGTGCATCCGAGAGCTGGGAAACGCATCCGAGAATGACAAATGCAAGGTCTGCGTGCAGGACTACAGACTCTGCTCAGGGAAGCAGTGACCCAAAATGTACCCAAAGAGAATGACTTCAGCACGAAGTGCTTTGACAGAAAGGACAGAAGCGATCCAGGCTATTTGGAAATCAGGAGATGAAGCGGTTATCTTCTCCCCGTACCCCTCCTTGCAAGGCTGCCCCTGCAATATCGGCTTCAATTCTACTTTAAGATGGGGAAATAGTGGAGAGAGTTCAAAGGAGAGACACAAAAATCGATCCAGATGCTGGAAAATCAGCCATAAGATGTCTGTTGAAAGGCATGTCTGACAGTTCCTTGCACGCAGAGAAGGCATCCGATAGCGGGGGATTTTTCAGTCGCCCACACAAAGGCCCAGTGCCTGGAAGTGAAAGTCAGATAAATTCAGCCTTCAAATAAGACACAAGTCTCCTAGCAGAGAAGGCAATTAAGTATCTGAGCAGCTTGCCGGGGGAGGTGAGGGACTGAGCATCACGGGGAATCTTTTAGGAAGAAGATGAGTCTTTCCTACAGGCATGATGCCGCGATCCAGCTTCTGCCAAGGAAACAAGACCCGCCAAGCTCCGGCCGGAGCAGACAGTTGAGCTCAGAGTGCTCCTGTGCGGTCGCAAAGAGCGTGCAAACAGCTGTAAACACGCCGGTTTCTCCGATCCTCAGCTGTCTGACTGCCGCACGTGTCCTCCAATCCGCTGCGGCAGTGCCTAGCCAGAGGCAAGCACCGTTCACCCCTCGGGCTTGAAAAATCAGGTGTCCTTTACACCCGATCTCGACTGGCACAGCCGCTGAAAGCCGCAGGGCTCGCTGGACCCGGGGGGGACATGGCAGTGCGCGGCTGAGATAACGGGACTGCTGCTCAAGGGGGTAGACTGGGACAATTAGGAGCAGCTCAGCTGGTGCTGCTTGCTGAGCTGAACCTGCAGTGACTCCGGTTTCTTAAGCCAAACGGCTCTGCGTTGTAACCAACGTGGTTAGACTGGGATCTGGCCCCTATTGTTCGTGCGTACCCAAGAAGAGCTGCTCTCCTCTGAGGTTAGAAAGACTTTTACCCCATAGCAAGGTGCTACGCAACTGCATGGCTATTTAAAGACGTTCCACTTGTTTTTGCCAAGTCCGTTTGGATGGTTGTGAATTAAGACATACTGCTCTTTTTTTTTTTTTTTGCTCTTTTTTTTTTTTTTCCTCTGCTCATACGGCCACAGGTGACTCTGGGCTGTGGATTTTTTAAAGAGGGCCCGTCCTTTAATTAAGGAACTTCTTAAATCAGCTCTCCCGCTGGAATGCCATTCGGAGGCTGTGGCTGCTGCAGCTGCTGGTTATCGGAGCTCATTCAGCGCTTGGCCAGAGAAAGCTGAAATGCCGTTGGATCATTTGAGCCAATAATGTTTATTGCCCTTCTGATCTAATTCCCAGTGCTGTAATGGAAGATATTACAGCATACAGTTGGCTGGCTTGCTAATTCCTCTTTGCACTCACTTGGAGCTCCTTTGCCGTTGCCAGCGCTAAATCTGTAGGTATTTAAATGATTATCGGCGAGGAGAGATGCCCCGGTGTTTATGGTAAATGGGCTCAGGCTAATCAGTGCAGAACAGATTTAGAAGGTGCCTTAGGATGCTTAATTTACTGCCTCAGTACCAGTCCCAGGAGAAAAAA